TTTATTGAATAAAATCGCCATTGTGTCCAGCCACAGCCTCCAGACTACTTCAGAATTTCCTGCATCTCTTCTGGACAGTTTCCTTGTTTAAGTTGATAAATGCAGTCTGATGAGTTAGGTGGCCAGATGTAAGGGGGTGATATGGTTGAGGAAATTGTCTGACAGACCTGAGTAGGTCCTCCAGCTTGTGTGGCATGGTGCAGAGTCATCTTTCCAGACATAGGGTCTTTTGGCAGTCACCCTATTGACCCGGGGCAGCACAACCTTGTGAAGGCACTTTATGTAGGTTTCTTTATTGAGTTTGAGGTTCTCACCAACAAATTCAGGAGTTCTTATCAGACTGCCATACCTTCATAATCATCATTAGACTCATTCAACTCTGAAATGTTTGTATTGAAGATTCAAGTGTGAATACCAATCACTATAGCATGCCGTTTCCAAATTTCTGGCAGATGGTGACTTTTTTTTTCTCACAAAAGGTGCCCAACTGACCTTACTATACTGTGCAGTTGACAAAATCAAAAATAGACAACATACATGTGCAAAATGAAAAATATAAAATGGCGACAATTTACCCATCGCACGCAGTATTTGTAATTACCATATGTCGAGGTCTACTTAAATCAGCTGAATCTTTTTCTTTTTTGACAGAGAATATAAATTCTTTTTCAAAGTAAGACTTTGGTTTCTTTTTCATTGCCACAATGTCATAAGATAGAATTGTGGGAATGAAGCCTGTCAGTCTTCTTTAAACATTGTGGACTAGCATCACAGAATCACAAAGAATTGTACCAAATAAAAAAAAAACAGCACCAACTCAAAGACAAAATAACAATATCATCAAGATGTTGATTCTTCTACAAGACTTCAAATAGAAGGTTAGGAAGGAAAGTCCCATCAGTACTGGAAAGAGTGATAAAACTACTGAACATGACAAACCTATTTTCCTGAAATATTGTTTTAAGAGAAAGATTTATAAATTTCACTCATAAGCAGTAATGTATGCTTAGTTAAAAGATGTCATGTATTTCCTTGTAGGGTGTTGGGTGTGCTTTTTAAGTCTATAAAAAGGCAAACATATTCTCTCCCTTTCTCTTTTTCCTCTTGGTTTCAGATATAGTTGAATGTCAATGAAGAACACTGCCAACAGGGTGCATTCATTTCTTTGGTCCACTTTTGACATTTGAACTCTCTCACATACAAGTGTTATCACTCACATTTATTTTACGCACACACAAGCAGCCATATTCTTATTGTTAGTTTCAATGTTTTTCTTTTCATTTAAATTGTGTACACATGCAATTACTTTTGTTAATGCATGCATATAATTGCCATTTGGTTTAAATTCATTGTTTTCTGTTACTTATTTTTATATGAACTCGCATGTGCCTGTCAATACTGTTTGTAGCTGAAATGTACCAGAAGCATTAAACATTTCCTAGACAATGTCCACACACTTGTTTGTAGCAATAGTGTAAAATCCCACAACAACAGTGATGGTGAATTATTTTTACCCATACATTGTAGTAACCTGTAACAGGGGAAATGACTAACATTACTATTATATGTATAATTATGCAAATATCAGTTGTGAATACTTCTTCTTTATGTGTTGTGTCTCGTTGGGATGTAGGCGAGCATTGCTCTCTACTTTTCTCTCTTGTCTCTTGTAGCTTTTAATAAATTTTGTCTTTCTGTTATTTCTCCTAAACCCCGTTTCACCATCCATTTACTCATGCCCATAAAGTATGTTATGCATTGTTTTGTGCTCTCTCTCTCTCTCTCTCTCTCTCTCTCTCTCTCTCTCTCTCTCTCAGTTTCCCAAAGCTCTCTTCATTTTGCAAAATGAAAAATAGGAAAAGATAGATATAAGAGTGAAAATATATATATATAGTGATAGATAGATAGATAGATAAAGACAGAAAAGGGAAAGATTATCAAAGATATATATATATATATATATATATATATATATATACTAGCAGCATGGCCCAGCTTTGCCCGTGCTTGATTCAAAAATCGTACAACTCAAACAGCAACCGTTATCACTTGACTTAAAATATTTTTGTCCTTCCTTGCCTTTAAAGGAGTGCCCTCTGCCGTGCTGATGTTGCTACATGCCTTACTTCTTGCCTATCTCACACCGCAAATTTTTTCTAAGCTCTATACTAAACATTAAATCTGTTATGAAAAAAGAACTAAACAAAATGATCAGCTTTCAAAAAGGACTCGTAACTGGAAAAACTGAATGAAAAAAGAATGTTAACAACAAATACTTTTTCACACCAAACCCAGTTCTGTAGAATCAGAATCAACGTTGAGTTTAAGCAAGCGAATGAGCCAATTGGAGTAAAGTGCCATGCAGATTTAAATTTTCCCCACTTGTGACGAATGCAGCTATCGATTTTTTTTTGCATGCTAGCATGCTAGTTAACATTCGTGTCAGTCAGCTGTTTGATCTCACGCTGACCAATAGAATCTTCCTGCCTATTCGTAGCAGCCAGTTGTTGGCTCTCACTCTGATCAGTAGAAAATGGCCTGAAACTACATGAAAACTACCATAGAAGCACGAAAAAATCTATTATTTCCATTATCGATGGGAGTTGGGAAATGCAAAAATCAGTCTGGGGCCTTCCCACTAACTTGTGGCATGTGCATGTAATTTTGGTGCATTTCCATTGAAAATTGTGGCTGTGCATTCATTACACACACACACATCCTGCTTGTATATATATATATATATATATATATATATATATATATATATATATATATATATATTTGTTATTTACTAGTAGTACAATTAGCCTTGAATTATGTTTTTATTTGTTTTTAATTTTAATTTTATTTTATTTTTGTTTTATTTTATTATTATTTTATTTTATTTTAAATATTTTTCACTTGCTTTTTTAATAATACTTTATAATTAATATAATAATATAAAAATTTAAAATTTTTTGTATTCTAATTTATATTGTAAAGTAGATTTTGTTAAGTATTGTATTGCTTTTTAAAGTGTCCTTTTTTACATTCTTTGGATAATTTTGTTTGAATATATTACTTCATATAAAAATGGTTTAATTCATATCAACATCTTTCTATTTTCTATCTTCTTGACATTCCTCTTTTTATGTATCTGGGTAATTTTGAATATACTTCTCTATTTCTCTTGCATTTCTTTTTCGTATTTTCTCTTGGTAGTAGGGTTAATTTCCTACACTTTCTCTTGACTTTTGTTTCTTTTTCTTTTTTCTTTTTCTTTTCTCTTTTTTTTCTTTTATTGATTTCTTATCTTCTTTCCTTTTTCTTTATATAAATCCTTTTTTACCTTTTATGGAAAACTTTCCAAAAACGAAAAGTGTAGTAATGTTTCATTAATTGTAATTTTGAATAAAATCGTTTAGTACCATCATTGTTAGCCACCTAAACAAACATTTGATTTAAACATTGAAAGAAAATGTACAATTTTGTAGTGGATATTTGCATGTTCTGATATAACCGTGGATAATATATATATATATATATATATATATATATATATATATATATATGTATGTGTGTGTAGATAGATAGAAGTAAGAGAAGGTAGGGATGAATCATCAAAGAAAAGAAAATGGAAGCAAAAAGAAAGAGAAAGGAAATATTATTATAGTAGGATATATATATATATATATATATATATATATATATATATATGGCATATTGAGAAGCCACGTATACATTCTTAATATGTTTTTCTGAAGAAAGATCGAGGCCGATCTGAAATATCAAATATAAATAAATACTTTCATAAAAAACATTATTATTATTTTTTTAATTTGCATCTTTTTAGTTGTTTATATATATATATATATATATATATATATATATATAGAGAGAGAGAGAGAGAGATAGATAGATAGATAAAGAGAGAAAAGTAAACATTATTAAAGAAGACTATGTATATATATATTTGAATAAAAACAGACCACTTTAAGGTTCCATGTAATAAGTTATTTCACCACAACCCTTTTAAAGGGCTCTGGATCATCAGACTTTACTTCCAAAAGTTGAAATAGATAGATAGATAGATAGATACAGAGAGGAAAGGAAACATTATTAAAGAAGACTATATATATATATATATACATATATATATATATATATATATATATATATATATATATATATATATATATATATATATATATATATATATATAAATTATGAAGAACTTGGTAAACCGAATGGGTAATTTCAATGAGTCCTTCAAAAGGATTTTGGTGAAATAAATTATTGTAATGGTACCTTAAAATGGTCTGTTTTTTCATTAATTATATATATATATATATATATATATATATATATATATATATATATACATAGTGATGGATAGAGAGAAGTATGAGAGGACAGAGATAAATTGAGTGAAAGAAAAGAGATAGAAGCAAAAAGAAAGAGAAAGGAGATATTAGAATCACTATTTCTATTGCTTCAAATCTCCTCATCATCTTTGAAGTGATTGTTCAGTAATCACTGCAATATGGGAGAACAGATATCATGTAATAGTCTAGTACAGTCTTCATTGTTTCTAGTAAAATTTTTCTATTTCTTAATATGCTGCTTAGCTTTTGGTATGCCATTTTACTATTCCAATACACCTTCAGATTTCAATGTCACACTTTCCATCCTCTGTTAAAACACTTCCCAGATATTTAAATTTCTGCATTTGTTTGATTTACCAGAATTAAACAAGTGCAGAAATTTAAAATTTGCAATTCGCACTTTGGGATCATGAAAACTGTCTTAAAAACCAGTTATCAACTCTGCTTTAAAATTGGATTTGGTGGAATAGTTTAAGTGTGGACATTACAATATTGAATAATTGTAGGAAAGGGCCTTACAGAATGATAGGTTTAAAATGTAAGAGAGACAGATTAATGAATAGATAGGAACTGGTGTGAAATCCCTTCATAGAAAGAGAAGAATATTTGATATGTCATTTGATGTTTATTCATGATTCAGTCATGTGTTGTTGAGTTAGAAATAAGTGAAGGTTCATTTAAGCTGGTGTGAAGACTGAGGGTAAAAGATAAGAAAGAATGGAGAAAAGGTAAGAAAGATACAATAAACCAAAAAGAGAAAGCAAAAGAAAAAAAAAAGAAGTCAAAGAAATATACAGTAACATGAAAGAGAATGAAAAGAGAAAGAAGAAGAATGTTTGAACATGTAGAAGAAAGAGAAATAAAGAGAGAGATTATAAAACAGATCATATCCAGAGGTGAGCAAAATGAAATGGAGAGAATAGCAGATATGAAGGAGAAGGCAGATTGAAAAATTGAGAAAGAAAGGAAAGCAAAAGAATGTGAAAGAGAATGGTGTGTGAGAGAGAGAGAGAGAGAGAGAGAGAATGTAGATAGAGTAGAAAATATGAAAGTAGTGGAAGAGGTAAATAGGCAGTTAAAAAAAATAGACTAAGCAAAGGCAGAGGGAAACAGTAAAAGAAAACAGATGGAAACAGAAAGAAAGAAAATGAAAGATTATTAAAGAAGAAAATATATATGTATATGTATGTATATGTATATGTATATATATATATATATATATATATATATATATATATATATATAAATATATATATATATACATATATAGTGATGGATAGATAGATACATGCATAGAACAAGGAAGAGAGTGCAGAGAGAAACCTCATGAAAGAAAACAGTTGGAACCAAAAAAAAAAGAAAGAAAGAAAGAAAGAAAGAAAGAAAGAAAGAAAGAAAGAAAGGGAAAATTATTGAAGAATATATAAACATAGTGATAGATAGATAGATAGATAGATAGATAGATAGATAGATAGATAGATAGATAGATAGAAATGAACAGAATAGATAGATAGATAGATAGATAGATAGATAGATAGATAGATAGATGAATAGATAGATAGAAATGAACAGAATGGAATAGATAGATAGATAGATAGATAGATAGATAGATAGATAGATAGATAGATAGATAGATAGATAGATAGATAGAACAAAAAATACAGGACAGAGAGAAATCCAGTAAAGAAAACAGATGGAAGCAAAATAAAGAAAAGGAAAGATTATTAAAGAAGGACATATATATATATATATATATATATATATATATATATATATATATATATGATAGATAGATAGATTATTGAAGTTCTTGAAATGGATGTAAATGACACTATTAAGTACATAGAAGAGAGGGTAGAGAGAAATGGAAAGAAAGAATGAAATAGAAAGAAAAAGAAAGTGGATAGACATATAAAAATTGACAGAAAGATAAGAAATGAGAAAAGAAACAGAAATGAAGATAAAAAGATTTAAACAAAAGATTACGTAAGGGAATTCAGAAAGAAACAGAGACAAGTAGGAAAGGAGACACTATAAAAAATGTCTAGAAAAGTGAAATAAACAGATTATAAAAAAACCTAGATAGATAGATCAATAGATACATAATGAACAGACTTATATCAATAGAGAGAAAGAAAGCAAGTTAAAATTTAAAAGAAAGAAAAATATGAAGGAGAGAGCATAAAAGAGGTGTTAAAGAGATATAAATAAGCAAAAATATAGAGAATGAGAAAAGAAGTAGAGGAAAAAGTTAAGCAAATAAATGTCCAGTGATAAAGGTGTTTGATTATTGAAGTTCTTGAAATGGATGTGAATGACACTATTAAGTACACACCAGGCAATGGACAGTGTTGATAATGGGAATATAAAGCAAACAGAATTGAGCCATATCTTTTCCAAAATGTCTGGCATAGGATAATTGAAATTGTACCAGCATGTCTGGCATATTGTGACTGAGATATCGATAAACTGTAAGGAATGATATTGACCACGGGGACATCAAAACTAGTAATAATTATACATTGTCCAATACCTGATGATATTTCTCTAGCTGTGAATTACAGTAAATATGGAGAATTTATTTCTTACTCTTCTTGCTTTACTGTGCCTGTCACCATCGTTTGAGGGCTATTCTTCATCTTGAAGCCTCCCCAACTCCACTTTGTTGCTGTATGCTTGCTGCTCTCAGCAATATGCATTGCGATGTGGACACCATATGTTCACTTTCCCAAGAGCCAATGTCGCATCAAGTGCCAACTCAAACACTTGAGGACTGAGAGCCGGATATTAAACAGAATCATCCAAAGGAGTGGCTAGTGAAAGAAACTTGTGAGGAGATAATATTTGCTTATAAATATACAAGGATACTTTTAAAAGAAAGAAGAGCTAGTTTAGCAAAGCCAGTTGACTGATACATTTTTGTCCATTATACAAGTTAAGTGTAATTTAAATTAATATAAAAATAATCATGGTTGAAATAGCTTGAAATCCCATTCAATTGAAAGAAATTAATGGTTTGTCATAACTTCTTATTCAGATTCTTTGACAATATATTATGAGGAATATACTGAGTACTGAATACAAGATATACCCTAATTATTATTTTAGGAAATTTACTGATACTGTGGGTGCCACTATAAAACAACTTGATCCTACTACCCCACCTCTTTTTGATGATTTGACATACTCTCCTGACCAGGAGAGTATGTCAACTTTAAACACCCCCAGAACAACCTGTCACTATTGCATCAACCAAACGGACATGCTACTACTGTGGTCTAAATCTACACTCACAACTTTCAAGGAAACTCATTGCCACAAGTGTGGAAAAATAGGATGAGATACTTCCATTCCTGGACTAACAGCCAAGCTCAAAATGAGAGATATTCAAGTTTGAATAGTCCAATACAAGAAGTACCCAGGCATTCAAAGAGAATCTGTAAAGAGCCTAGACACCTAAGAGATTTTCTCCCTTATGAATAAAATATGTAAGGAAGAATGTACTGATAAATGATCAGTTACCTCCCCTTAAGATCTAGGAGATATAATATATATATATATATATATCTGTCAGTAGACGAGTAATCAGAGTAAAGTACAATAAAGTTTTGGTATAAGTTTATTCACTGGTTCTGTTTTTATTACAGTTACAATAACTCAGATCAGAGATATAAACAAGTATAATATGTCTGTTTAACATTATTACTGAATTTTCAATGGGATGTTAAAAGGTTCACTTCAAAATTCTCTGATGGTTACTTGGATTGACAAGCTCCTGAAATGCTGTGATAATAACAACAAAGATGAAGATAATAGTTTAAATATTATTGATGTAAACAGAGATGTTAAGAGTTAAGAAAAAGATTAAAAAATTTTCCCTCGTTTATTTGTATGAGTAAAAGATTGAATATATTGATGTTTGATTGCTAAGTTTTATGATGATTGTATGGCACTCAAAACATTGCAACAAAAGAGATCTATCTCAAATTTGCAAAGCTTGAACCAAAAGTATAGCTATCCTGATGTGAAAAAAAAATCAATGAAATTCTAGCAAGGCTTAAACACTAATTGAGCAATTGCAGAAAGCTTATAGCAGTTGTGAACGATTAAATCAAGCATGATATTTAATGAAGGGAAATTGACCAGCAAATGAAATGTTAATGGATATTAACAACTAATTGATCTTCATGAAATGCTTTAAGAAACTGATCCTTGGTCAATTACAAAGAAATGCTTACAGATATTGACTGATAACAATTCTCTGATGGAAAACTCTTAAAAGTGTCTGGTTTCAATTTACTTAGCTTTTGACCTCTGATTTGACTTTGGTGCTCACAAGTTAGAAAATGTGTAAAGCTAACAGTTAAATACAAATTCTAAGTGATACCTGAAGGGTCCAGTAGAATTGAAAAGTACTTAATAAGCAAAGTTGAATTGCGGAAGAATTAATGTTGCTTCGTCATTTGAAGTCTGAGTAATTTCAGAAGAGGTTTGTAATTGATGCAATGATTTTCTCAATCAGAATTTGCTTCACCGTAATTATCTGCAGTTAGACTGGTTATTCTGATGAGAAAGATATTCAAAAGATTTTTGTAAATAAGTAATTTGATCTTTTTAGATCTATTTTAGAGGACAACATTTACTATTATTTTATTGCCAATATTCAGAATAAGTATTTTGATCTGTTTAGATCTTTTGGGGAATATATTTAATTTTCTTTTTTAATGTACTGAAGTTGAAAACAGTTTTCAAAATAAATGATTTGATATTCTTTGATGATTTCAGATTTTTTACAGTTTATGTTGTTGATATAATAAAGTTCAAAAGAGAAATAACTACTTTCAATTTTTACATCTTTTTAGATCTGTTTTCCAGATCTGTTGTAGGGCATCAATTTATATTTTTTGTCTTAATAACGTTTAAAACAATATGTAATTTGATTTATTTAGATCTTTTTATAAACATATTTAATATTTTTGAATTACCAAGATTCAAAACAGTATTCAGAATGAGAAATTTTATTATTTTTAGATATTTTTCAATATGGTGAGGTTTTTAATAGCTTTTTAGATGTTTTAAGATTATATTTAATATTTCAACTAAATTTCAAAACGATTTTCAAAATAAATTGATTCTTTTTATATCATCTTTGGATATTTTTAGTGATTTAATTAGGTTCAAAACCGTTTTTAAAGTGATCATTAATATTTGATGAGTCCTTTTATTTTGAAAGTTATTTGGCAAACATTAAACTGAAAAGTCATATAAAAAAAGAAAATCAATGTTAAAATTCTCAAAACTGCACTGATTTAATTGTCAGTCTGATTTGTAACGTATGAGCTGGGCTGGCCTGAGGCACTGTAAGGCATGTTTGGAAACATTTATTTTTCTGTGTGTTCCATGTTCAAAGCCAAGGACTCTAGAATCATAGAGATACAGACAGACTTTAGATTTCTGTAGTGTGATGGAAAGCAGTCATATAAGTGATTGAAAATATTCTATTTAAATCCAGTACAGTTAAAAACAGAAAAACAAAAAGCATCTGTGACTAGTGTAACAGTTAATAATGTTGAAAGTGAAATCACAGTTAATAATGTATAATAGAAAGGAATAACATGTAGAATATAATAATAATAATAATAATAATAATAATAATAATAATAATAATGTATAATAAGCTATGATAATGTTTAATAATAAGGTATAATATAATCATAATAATTAATTATATATAATTTTATATAACATAAATATAATAATTACTATGAAAATAATTATATATAGTATAATAATGAGGTATAATAATGTATAATAATGTATAATGGAATATTAAAAGAATAACAATAATGTTAAAAGTGGAATCATAATTAATAACTTATAATGGAATAGAGAAGAAGGACTGCTCTGGCTTTACAAATATGGAGGAGACAGGAGACAGGAGACCTCTTGGCTGTCTTTCTTAAGAAGTCATAATAATTTGATGATAATAAAATGATGATATGTGGAGAGCCATGTTTGCCTACAACCTGAAATAATGAGGAAGTTTTAAAAAAAAATGTAAAAATTTTCAAAATATATACAAAATATATATTTTCCATTCTGCAGCCTCTTTTCCGAATTGACAATATATACAAAATATATATTTTCCATTCTGCAGTCTCTTTTCCAAATTGACAATATATACAAAATATATATTTTCCATTCTGCAGCCTCTTTTCCAAATTGACAATATATACAAAATATATATTTTCCATTCTGCAGCCTCTTTTTCCAAATTGACAATATATACAAAATATATTTTTCCATTCTGCAGCCTCTTTTCAAATTGACAATATATACAAAATATATATTTTCCATTCTGCAGCCTCTTTTCCGAATTGACAATATATACAAAATATATATTTTCCATTCTGCAGCCACTTTTCCAAATTGACAATATATACAATATATATATTTTCCATTCTGCAGCCTCTTTTCCGAATTGACAATATATACAAAATATATATTTTCCATTCTGCAGCCTCTTTTTCAAATTGACAATATATACAAAATATATATTTTCCATTCTGCAGTCTCTTTTCCAAATTGACAATATATACAAAATATATATTTTCCATTCGGCAGCCTCTTTTTCAAATTGACAATATATACAAAATATATATTTTCCATTCTGCAGCCACTTTTCCGAATTGACAATATATACAAAATATATATTTTCCATTCTGCAGCCTCTTTTCCGAATTGACATTATATACAAAATATATATTTTCCATTCTGCAGCCTCTTTTCCGAATTGACAATATGTACAAAATATATATTTTCCATTCTGCAGCCTCTTTTCCAAATTGACAATATATAAAAAATATATATTTTCCATTTTGCAGCCTCTTTTCCAAATTGACATTATATACAAAATATATATTTTCCATTCTGCAGCCTCTTTTCCAAATTGACAATATATACAAAATATATATTTTCCATTCTGCAGCCTCTTTTTCAAATTGACAATATATACAAAACATATATTTTCCATTCTGCAGCCTCTTTTCCGAATTGACAATATATACAAAATATATATTTTCCATTCTGCAGCCTCTTTTCCGAATTGACAATATATACAAAATATATATTTTCCATTCGGCAGCCTCTTTTCTGAATTGACAATATATACAAAATATATATTTTCCATTCGGCAGCCTCTTTTCCGAATTGACAATATATACAAAATATATATTTTCCATTTGGCAGCCTCTTTTCTGAATTGACAATATATACAAAATATATATTTTCCATTCAGCAGCCTCTTTTCTGAATTGACAATATATACAAAATATATATTTTCCATTCGGCAACCTCTTTCGAATTGACAATATATACAAAATATATATTTTCCATTTGGCAGCCTCTTTTCTGAATTGACAATATATACAAAATATATATTTTCCATTCTGCAGCCTCTTTTCCAAATTGACAATATATACAAAATATATATTTTCCATTCTGCAGCCTCTTTTCCAAATTGACATTATATACAAAATATATATTTTCCATTCTGCAGTCTCTTTTCCAAATTGACAATATATACAATATATATATTTTCCATTCTGCAGCCTCTTTTCCAAATTGACAATATATACAAAATATATATTTTCCATTCTGCAGTCTCTTTTCCGAATTGACAATATATACTAAATATATATTTTCCATTCTGCAGCCTCTTCCAATTGACAATATATACAAAATATATATTTTCCATTCTGCAGCCTCTTTTCCAAATTGACAATATATACAAAATATATATTTTCCATTCTGCAGCCTCTTTTCCAAATTGACATTATATACAAAATATATATTTTCCATTTGCAGCCTCTTTTCCAAATTGACAATATATACAATATATATTTTCCATTCTGCAGCCTCTTTTCCAAATTGACAATATATACAAAATATATATTTTCCATTCTGCAGTCTCTTTTCCGAATTGACAATATATACTAAATATATATTTTCCATTCGGCAGCCTCTTTTCCGAATTGACAATATATACAAAATATATATTTTCCATTCTGCAGCCTCTTTTCCAAATTGACAATATATACAAAATATATATTTTCCATTCTGCAGCCTCTTTTCCAAATTGACATTATATACAAAATATATATTTTCCATTCTGCAGCCTCATTTCCAAATTGACAATATATACAAAATATATATTTTCCATTCTGCAGCCTCTTTTCCAAATTGACAATATATACAAAACATATATTTTCCATTCTGCAGCCACTTTTCCGAATTGACAATATATACAAAATATATATTTTCCATTCTGCAGCCTCTTTTCCAAATTGACAATATATTCAAAATATATATTTTCCATTCTGCAGCCTCTTTTCCAAATTGACAACGTCACAAACCTATCATCATCAGACCGTTCACTGTTTCAATTGTCGAAGGGCAGAAGAAACAGATTTTGATTCTTCTTCCTCATGATCCTTTCAGTGGGTTTTCAGATAGCTTGGCGGTGCCCATCTCCTCTTTAAGCTCTTGAATGACAGCCAAAAGATACAGAATATGCTGTCAGTTCAACTCAGTCTGTACACTAGGATTTCAAGTTTTGAATTCGGAGTTGTACTTCTCCCCGATCAGTTGACACCCAAAGCTATAAAACCCAGTGTGTACTGCTATTTACCCTGAGCTGGGCCTGGATGTATCAGCTTGTGAGTGAGTGAATGTAATGAACTAGAATTTAAAATAGGCTCTCCAATTCCTAAATCTGAGTTGCTATCCATCACTCCGACATGGCACCAGTCTAATGCTAGCTACATTATCACTATTTCCATAGAAAATGTTCAGATGAGCTTCATTCTAGCATTAGTTCACAAATTTACAACTCGGATATACCATGCTATGTCTATATAGAGTTGAATGTCCTTCATTTCCTTCTTATATATGAAGAGAAAGTTCCTCTTAGCTATTTCCCACGAACTGCTTTGTAGAACAGATGCTGAAGTTTGTACATACACCTCACACATAATACAATCTAACTAAAAATCACTCTTATCCTAAAAAAGGTTTTCTTAATATTTACAATAATAAATGTATAACAAGTTCTTCTTAATCTGTTCATGAAGAATCAGTCATCAAGGTAGAGATAGAGAGAACAATTTAAAAAAAAGTAAATCATTTCAGTCACTTTTGCACTGACTTGATATGGCTTTGCTTTGTCTTTTCTACAAAAATGTTCATAGCAACTGGTCTGACGAGATTTTTTTCCCTTGTACTGTGAATACATGAATTTAAGCATGCTACTAGATTGGCTATCGGCATGTGGCTGAGTGGTTAGAACGTTTGCATTCTGACCATGTCACCTGAGTTTGAATCTCATCATGGCCAATTTGTCAGGAAGGAGACTTCCTGATGTTATTGAACTGGAATGGTCAATCCCAGCATATGGCACCTTTGGAAGGTGCCTGAAACCATACCACGGGTTGACCCAAGCCTTGTGAGTGAAATTGGGTAGATGGAAACCTTGGGGCAGTCAATAGCTGTGCTGGCATGAAGTCACAAGTCATCATGGCTGAGGCCTTGAGCATGCTGGCCTTGTGCAAATTGCTGATCACGCTAGATAACATGCTCTTTCCCAGAAACTGTAACTAAGGTCTGTTCAGCATAGTTGCAGTATAAACCACAGGTGATCTCTGTGGGTGTTGAATAAACACAAATGTACCTGAGCAATAGGGATTGTCTAGCAGCCCTATTAGACAGGTATCCTTGAATATGAGTGGCCAGCTATACATACATACACTAGATTGGCAACTGAGTCTCACTGGTTTACTGATGAAATAGCTAAATGCAGCCACCACTTCTACTCAAACAATTTCTTATTTTGCCCTTCCCATCTGTGAAACTCCCTTCCGGTTTCTTGCTACCCTGATAACTACAGTCTTCCAAAATTTAAATGCAATGTCAACTGCCATCTTCATTTTTTTGTCCTTCCCATAATACTCTCTATTATCAGTCTTCTCATTTTCTTTCATTTTTATTCCCTGTACCACCCTAGTGGCATTGCTTGGAGTGAAATGATTAAAAACAAAAATGAAAAAGAAAAGAGAAACAAAATAAAAGTAAAATTAAAAAAAATATTGATGGAATTCAGTGGTGGGTGAACAGAAAGAGTAATAGAATGAAATAAAGCAATATAAGTGATAGAGAGAAAAAAAATCTCTCCAACCAAACAAAGAGGAACTAAAGTAATAAAAAGAAAATAGGTAATAAACAACAAGAACAAAAAGAAGTGGAAAGAGGGTAAAGAGAAAGAGGGTAGAGAGAAAGAGACTAAAGAGAAAGAGGGTAAAGAGAAAGAGGGTAGAGAAAAAGAGACTAAAGAGAAAGAGGGTAAAAAGAAAAAGGGTAAAGAGAAAGAGGGTAAAGAGAAAGAGGGTAAAAAGAAAGAGACTAAAGAGAAAGAGACTAAAGAGAAAGAGGGTAAAGAAAAAGAGAGAAATAGTCTCTTCAGTTTATATTGTTGCTATCTTTTGTTATTCTTTTAATAGTCAAAAGGAAGAGGCACTCCAACTAATGCAATAATGCTTCCATAGAACCACCTTCATAAAACCACTAGTGTTTTTGGTGTGATGAATGACTGTGTATTAAGTTTTAGACTGGTAATAACTTTCCAATAAAATACTGCCAGATATTGTCTTGTACATGTTGGTGCAGAAGGAATGCCGCCATCTTTATACAAAATTCTTTTTTTTTCTTTTTAATCCTTTTCCAGATTTGACAGCAATTTTGTCTTTTCCTTCTGCTTACCTAATTGTCTCTTCAAGTCGCATCCAGATTGAAACTATGGAAACAATAAATAAATGAATACTTATTACAATCTATGCACTTATTACCCATCCAAGACATGCCTATTTAAACTCTTGCATCCTATTTCTGATTTGGTTCCAAAAACCAATGAAAGATTTTGTGCATGTTGATGTCATATGTTTGTCAGATTGCATTTTAATGGATTTTCTTGCCTGTGACTGACATTTTGACATTTGCCTTTTGTTAATCTAATCTGCTGTTGTGAATTTGTGAATAAACCCAAAAGAATGTCTTATTATATGGGATCATCTCAGAATGTCCATATATTTCTTTCTTTTCCATTCACCTTTTATTTTAAATATCTTTTCCCAATTTGTATGTAAATAAGAACATAGCTGGTGGGATTTTGTAGGTTATTTTTTTCTCTTACTTTAAGGAATTTCAAGGTGAAACGTGATGTCTACAACACTGGAAAAGAAAAAATAATGAAATATATTTACACATATATATATATACATATATATGTAATATACATTAAGTTTTAGACTGGTAATAACTTTCTAATAATATATATATATATATATATATATATAGATAGATAGATAGATAGATAGATAGATAGATAGATAGATAGATAGAGTAGGGTAATGAAAATTTGATAGATAAATACAACAATAATGATGAGAAAATAATGTTCATTTATATTATTAGGACTTCAAACTAAATAGAAGCAATATATATGTATATATATATATATATATATATATATATATATATATATGATATATGTATATATATATATATATATATATATATATGATAATATATATATGATAATATATATATGATAATATATATATATATGATAATATATATGTATATGATAATATATGTATATATATATATATATATATATATATATATATATATATATATATGATAAAATGAAAAACCAGTAGGAAACAAATCTCATTGTAACTTGTTTCACTTTTATTAAAGCTTTGTCAATCTCTGATAAGGCTTTAATAAAAGTGAAACATGTTAGATTGAAATTCGTTTCCTACTTGTTCTTTATTTTATTTTAACATTTTCTTGGATTAATATCCATATCTGATCTACATTCTTCAGCACACACACACACACACACACACACACACACACATATATATATATATATATATATATATATAGATAGATAGATAGATAGATAGATAGATAGATAGATAACAGTAACATAAAAGAAAAACACATAATATCAAATACATTCTTACCAAAAACACAAACATGCTATATCACATAAAATTTAAAATTGCTTGAGGCAATGATGATAAAAAGCAAGCAACCTAAACATCAATAATGTTACCTTGAATGCAATATATTAAATGTATCATACTAAAAAAATAAATTAAAAAGTAGAAGACACTAAAGTGCATGTGAATACCAGGAAATGTGAGAAATGCAATATTTTAAAGTGAACATGCAAAATGGGAAATTTAATTATTAAATTGCTGAGATAAGAAAAAAAAAAAACGGGAAACAAAAGTCTTTGATAATGACTAATGAGTGAAAAGTACTTAGAGATAGTAAAATATATTTTCAAATATCAAATATCAACCTACAATCAACCTGGAAGAGATATGAAATGATAGAAATGTGATTCCACAGAAAGATGCTGAGAATATCATTTCAGTCAGTCAGTTATGTGCCATGCTTAGACAATCATGTATCTTTTGATACATGAAGGCAGATTTTTTTTCCCACAGTAGGTTGCCATTTCTTTCTGCAGTAGACCAGTTGCCATCCAAGGCTAAAGAACCCTGTTTTTCCTGCTATTTACCCATAGCTGGGAGAGTAAGAATAGGATTCATACCTTTCCCAAGAGTATTAGCATGTAAGTGAATGTAACGGTTTTGAATAGAATTCAAATTTGGTTCTCCGATTCCTCAATCCAAGCCGCTATCCATTACTCCACTGTGCCTCCATAAATGTAAAGAAAGAGGAAGTTTTAAGAAAAATGAACACAAAAAGAACACTTAGAATACTTAGAATCAGAAAGAGAAATTCAAAATTTCTCAGGCACAATGAGGAAAAATGGCTCAGAATATTTGTACTCTCATGCACCTGTGCAGTAAAAATTTGGAACATCAACTCACTCTTGGTTAACATGTTGCACATAACATTATTAAAGAAAAATACTTGAAAGTAATTATTAGGGCCAATGCGTCTTACCCACTTGAGGTGGGCAGTGTTTTTTGGGGCCCTGTTGTGGCCTCTGCCATCATTTTTTCAGCATTGTTTTATAGCCATCCACCATGTTTTAAAATATTTTTAAACTGATGTTATATTGTCAGTCATCAACTAATAATATGCATTGTGTATCTACATGCTCAGTGTGGTTCCTACTACACAGGAACCCCTGACAAGGTTGGAGTCCCAAAAGGGATAATAACACCAGTGTTTTTTTTGCTTTATTTTTCTACAGTTATATTGTCAGTTATCAACTATAATAATCAACAGTACTAGTGCATACTACCCTGAAACTCTCAACCATGTAGGAACCCCATTCCTACTCGGGTGAGCAGGGTAGAAATGTTAATTTCAGTAGCACTTAATTTTTTAGATTATAATTTTTTTACTGAACAGTTCTTTTAAAACAATTAAGAGGGCAATATATCTCATTAAAATCATTTTTTATTCCAAAATCATCCATTGTGGAGGATCTCTGATTTTTTTCTTTTTTTAACACTAACTAGAAGTCCATGGTTCATAATTAAAATAAAATTTCTAGTCCCTACTTTTCACATTTCGAGAAAGATAAACCCAAGATAATGATCACTTAAAAAAATAAAAATATTTAAAGATTTCAGCAGATGAAAAATTTTCTCCAAAACTGAAATACTGTTTTTAAAACAAATTTCTAAGACAATCCCATTTTTGTTGTATTGGAATCTTTGTAAAACTTATTTTTTTCAGTGGAGATACATTGACAATTAATCTTTATGGAAAATTAAAAACTTGTGACTTAAACATTGTTTTGAGTAAAATTTAGTCATGAAAATATTGGTAGTTATTACAAAAAGAATAACATTTTCTCAGATATTTTTTAAATATAAAAATCTATTCATTATAGAAGTAAATAATTACAGAATATGTACTTAAATTTTCATTTTAATTGTATAAATTCCTAATTTTTGGTAATTTAAAATATACTTTCTTTTGAGGGTTTGTGGCCTCCCAGGTTGGGAAAATTTGAAATCAAGATGTAGTAGAAAGGGGTGCCCTGTATTAAGGTTTCAAGGTTGTGGGGTGATAGCCTCAAACTGGCCCTGTTAATTATGACCTCTGATCAAAAGTTTTCACCTCACAGCTGCTATATTCAAAATAAAGCCCACTGGAAAACAAATTGAGCAAATTTTTGAATTTTGACAAAATTATAACAAGATATGGTAGATAAGAACATAGAACACACTGCTAAGGATCATATTCCTCCAATTCTAAAATTTACTACAAAATCAAAATATTAACTTAAAATAGCCATTTCAGATTAAGATTATCATATTGATGTCTTGCATGGCATCAAACACATACAGATATGTCAAAAATGTTGGCTTTCTCAGATCAATGGTTTTAAAAAGAAGCATGTAAGTCTTAGCAAGAACAATCCCTCTTTGAACCTCATGAACTAGTTCTACAGAATCACAAAGAACTGTACAGATAACAGAAAGTACATCATGTGACAACTTTCAACAACAGCAAATGCTAAAATGGATAGCACATGTAATTCAAAGAAAAAATAATGATATAATCAAAATACTGTCATTCCCCATTATTTAAAAAAAAAGGTTGGGAAGGAAGCAGTCATCAATACTTGAAAGAGCAATTATATTTGCAGGACATGAGAAACCTATTTCCCTGAAAAATTATTTCCATTGAAAGGCTTTATAAATTATAACTGAAAGTATCACAGACTACTCTGTCAGTGGATACTGAATGTTGGCTTATAAGGAAACAGCTAATCTTACCCTACTCACTGTAATACAAAGTAACTTTCCCTACAATGTAAAGAAACCTTTCTGAAATATCATTTATTGCTAGTCCTTTTTATTTTAGATTATGCTTCCTGTGTGTGTCTGTCCTACACTCAGCATGATCTATAATGGTGATGAAAGACACAATATTGCTTTATCAAAAATGCAATAAAAAATATGCCTCACTCTGAGAGAGTTTAGAGTCTTGGCCTTTTCTCACTTGAAACTGAACATCTTAGACTTATTTTAATGTAAAGCCTGTCTGAAGTTATAAAGCTCACATGAACATCAGTAACTTAAATTTGCTATGGATAAATTTTTGGAAAATTTTAAATAATTTAGAAACCAAAACAAAGCAATTTCAGCAGTTAATACCAAGTCTTTTAACATCTTAAGAAAGAAAACTAGAATGAATTTTGGTCATATTGACAGATAGTAACATGTGTGCACAATTTGCATCTTCCACTGATTTTCTAATTCAAAGTTTCAAGTAATCCTGTTTCTGCACATCGTTTGTGCACCATGCTACATCATTTATCTCTTATTCCTTTTTGCCTATTGGCTGGCCTAATAATAATAATAATAATAATAATAATAATAATAACATGGAATTGGTATGAATACCACCCAAATCAGGTGACAGACATTGAAAATGTAACAATTTTATAGGACTTTACAATACACACTGACAGAACAATCAAAGGTAATCATTAATCAAAGACCACAAAAACAAAATGTGCTTTTTTATTGACATGGAAATTTCTGCAGACTCTTGAAGATCTTCAAAAAATTCTTAAACATCAAGGATCTTGAAGTGGAAATCTCAAAAATGTGGCACATGAAGACATCAATAATTTCAATTCTGGTTGGAGGCCTCGGTTTGATTGGAAAAAGGTTCGAATAGACTCATTGAAAGAATCCCGGTAGCTGATGCCTTAAAGAAATACAATAATTGTTCTTACAAGTACAGCTCACATCATATGATGGGCTTTATCAATGTAAAATGTGTGTTATCTTAGGTTATTTTAGTTTTAGTTTTTTTACAAAAATGTTCAGTGTAAAATGTCATGATGCCATTTCTGACCTTAGGTCTCTGGTTGGGATCTGGATGGAAATGTATATATAACAGAAATAATAATAATAATAATAATAATAATAATAATAATAATAATAATGAATTAATAAAGGAGACAGAATACAACCTTCAATTATGAGAATTAATGAATGAGATGGAATACAACATACAATTATGAAGAAAAAGATCCAAAAAGAATATTATAGAATGTGTTTGATACTAGAAAGTGAACTTAATTGGGCCAATAAAATGAAAACTATCAACAACTTAGCTATACCCGTAGTAACATACAGCTTCAACCTTTTAAATAGAAGTTGAATGACATTAAAAGATTGGACACCAAGACCAGAAAAATACGGATGCACCCCTCAAAATCAGATGTTGATAGGCAATACCAAGAGAGGCTGAGGTCTAATTTAACTTCAACTAACTTTAAAAACAACAACAATTGGATTGGAAGCATACCTCACAAAAACCAGTGACCCTCACCTATAAATATTAAAAACAAATCCACTCCATCAACAAAGAATTTGTACTCTTCAAGAAACAGCTTAATATACCTGAAATTCTACCAACAAAAAAACAAAAAGAATAAC